CCAGAGTCAGGGTTCAAAGACAGAGAGGGAGAGAGAGAGAGAGAGGGAGAGAACAAGCAACAGTGATTTGTTCCCAGACTTGAAAAAACTGTGCTCTTCCTGTCATCATTAAAAAGCTGCAACTTTAGGTCATGGACCTATGGTGAAAGCAGAACGAACAGGACGAATTATTTTATCTTGTAGTGGAACTCTGCAATTAAGTTTTGTGCTACTGTTGTGACAGCCCTTACTGCATAAGAAGCAGCATGCAAACGTGCATATACATGGGCATGCACATGCATAGACATGCAACATATGCACCAAATGACAATCTCTACTGCATGATGCATGCGTTTAAGGCAGGGCCATATATATATTGTTAAGCAGGAAATTAGTAAGAAATAATGATGAGTGCTGCTAAGTATGTCCAGGAGAGATTTGAAGACTAGAGGAATAATTTTGAGCATATTTACAGTTCTGGGAGGAAAGCTTAGATACTTCTTTCATTGTTGTTTTTGAGGGGAGAACTGTTACTCAGTGGAAAGGTGTATTTAAGTGTGTTTCAGCAATAATCTGTCACTGTGGACACAATTTTTACACATTAGTAAGTAAAATTAAATGCCTAGATTTACTCTTTTATCCAGTGCTGTAAATATACCTATTGCTCCCTTTGCTTAACTCTTTCAAAAGGCAGGCTGGCTTTATTCAAGTGCCCCCCTTTAAATACTGAAGTTTTGAACATCAGGAGCAATGCCTGTAAACCCAGAGAGTCAGAGTTCACAATGCACAAAACTAGGAACTCTGTTGTTGCAGCAATTTGAGAGTGGGACTTGGTTTTCTTCATGTGTTTTTTTTAAAAAGTTTTTTCCTGATAGGCAGGGTATCTTGGTAAACAGTGTGAGTCAAAGAAAGTTTTATCTTTCACACTTAAAATGTCTCAGCCTGGACTCTCTTCATATTGCTGATATGGCCCAAACCAGGCCAGGTGAGACCCCTGCAGAGATGACCTTGGCAGCAGTACAGGTACCTCTTTCCAGAACTGAGAGCTTACCAGCAACATAAGTTTCTTGCAAACATTAAGCTCTGAGCTTCCTAAAAGAGCCTGAAAAAGTGGGAAAATTATAAATACTGCTCTTTCAGAGCAGAATGAATGCAAACAAAGAAAAAGGAAAGCTGAAAGCATTTGCATGAAGCACTCTGGGAGTGCAGGAACAAATGATGAAAGTGATGAAAAAATTAAGAAATTACCTTCCTCCCTAAAAAGAAATAAAGCAAAGCTGATATGCTATGGACAGCAAAATAAATTTATTGTATTCAGTGCTGTGCACCATGGGTGAAGGAAAAAAAATGTATAAAAAGAAGAAAAACATTTTCCTGTCTTGTTACTTTCTGTGTGTAAAGCAGAGAGGGAATGTTTTTTGCCTTTTCTGTTAGTGCACAGGAAAGTATACTTAATCTTTCCCACTTAATAAAAAGTACCTGATGTCTAAAACCAATAAAGGAATACTTTTAGAGCTAAGCATGATTTGCTTAAGATGCCTTTAGCCGAGTATCTACATTTCAAGACAAAACTGAAATTCATAAAATAAGTGTTTTTTCAAGGCTCTGTGTGGTGCCATGAGCTTTGTGTCTGAATCAGTGCAAACCATGAGAAAGGCTCATTCAGCTTTTATGTAGTATATACTACCCCATGGATCCTATCCTACTTTTATTCTGGAGCAGGATCTATAGGCAATTAAATACATCACAGACATGCAAGTACAATATGATACAATACAAATCACATACAACAAAAGGACAACTCAATCCATCACATTTATTTTGAAGACAGGTTATCTGCTGGTACAAATTCATCCACTGCAAATAATTTCACTTACCTGTCCAGACTGGCAAGTGAGTTCATTAGTACTCAACCGAAGCAGTGTTAAAGATTAGCTCTTTTATTTTACTTCAGGATTTATAAAATGGATTTCTTTGCAAAAAGGTCATCTGTAATGCATTTTATCCATAGCAGCATAACAGTGTATGGTGACTTTAGTTTTAAACATATTAATTTTATTTTCTAATAAAATTATTGGAATTTTAAAAATACCATTAATTTAATGTAACGGTGTGAAATATTCTGGAATACTGTGAAAACACAAGAGACACTCTATAGGACTGTGAAAGCCCACAGTGTGTGTCCTGTTGGATTAGGGTCGCAAACAAGGCCAGAGATGGACCACTGATGTGTTCTACGCACTTCAAGGGTAAATGTCTCATACACAGTCAGATCCATCGTCTTTCAAAAAATAGATGTCAAATTGCTACATTCATCTGGATTATTCGCAGTTACTCATTAGTTTAAAAGATGCTTGCTAGTGGTCACTATTAGCACTAGTTAGTTTTCTTAGTCCACTTTCTTGTACATGTTTTCTGGAATTCCTTACATCCACACACTAAGTACCTGCAAGTATTTACTTGCAAAAGCTCCTTAGTTTCCAATTATTCATACTACCTTTTTTCTTCTTGAAAACAGATTTTGAAAGAGTTCAATACCTGACTCATTTCTGAATCATCATTAATTTCAGCCCACTAGTCTTTTTTTAATTCTCATTTAAATACATGGGATTTAAAGTTGTTTGTTGTTTTCATTGACTTTAGGAATCCATTGAATTGCCTGAGAAGAAGCATTATGGAGTGTAGGAATGCTTTTGGCATCCAGGTCTCATAACCGTCCTTATTCCAGCCCTGTTTGACAAATTCTCTAGGGTTATAAGGTATTTAATAGCTACTTCTTAAGGTCATCCAAACATTAGCAGGTCTAGAAGACCTGCCACTGGGTGAGTTGTTGTTATTTCTACATTCATGGAGCTACTCAGCAAGGGATGCCCTTTGCTAGTTTGCAGTCAATTTGAACTTGCAATAAATGCCAACATTGACATTCATTGTCATTCATTGGAAAGCAACATCAGACAATGCAGTGAACATGTAGATTCCTGTTGTTCCTGAAAAGCTTCAAGAGGACTGAAGGTTTCAACCAAAGTAAAATTGCAGAACAAAAATGCCTTAGCAGCAGGTGCTTATAGATGGATGGATGGGCAAACATTCAAAATCAGAATAAAAATGTATCCTATCAATATCAATATACTACCTAGTTTATTTCATCTCCTAAAACAGCTGATTTTGTGAAAATA